ACACTTATGGATATGCGTACTGAACTGATAGCGGTGCCACACGCCGGTCTAGGGTACCAGTAGGAAGCCATCGAATCCTGGAGGTCTTAAAAGGAAAGGCGGCCCAAAGCACAGATTGAAACAATTCAAAAGAATCCCTGTGACTACAAGGGGCACACACAGAGGCGTAAAGCTAAGGTGAGGGCCAATGTGCACGTGTGCGCGTGCAAGACAAAAGAATGAAGACATGACAGGAGGACGAGACGGGACAAAGGTGTGTGTGGTTGAAATGAGAGGGGAACCAAGTGCACAGGGACACCCAATGAAGCCCACCTCATTGTAAAGACCTGGGCGACCTGAAACCTGTGTTTAAAGGTATGTAAAAGTGCACGTACACACTAAGGCCGGGACCAATGTGCACGCAAACGAAGAAAAGGATGAGATGACCAGACATCAAGACAGGAGGACATGAAAGAAAAGAGGCAACAAAAGTGTGTGAAGGGGAAGGGGGAACCAATGGAGGGGACGGAAACCGATGAGACCAAACCTCATTGCAACGACCTAGGTGACCTGCCTCGTTTCAATGTACACGCTGTGTGTGCACCCAAGGTCGCGACAGGTTCCAATGAACCTTGAACAAGCTTCGGCCGCTGCGCGTACGCCGTGCCAATATGGCTGGCTGCTTTGACCGCTGCGGTCACGTAAAGGCGTGAGCCAACTTGGAATTCCAAAAATGAGACAAACATCCCACTTCTTGTGGCGTAAGCCATTTGCTGTCCGCTCCGGACACTTACATCTCCAAAGCAAGGGAGATAACGACAAACCCCCGTTCGACGGGTCCACGGGAGGCACTCTGCGGGCTCATCCCGGGTTGGCGCAAGGCCAAACACACTTATGGATACGCGTACTGAACTGATAGCGGCGCCACACGCCGGCCTAGGGTTCCATTTCCTAAGAGTACCAGTAGGAAGCCATTGAACCCTGGAGGTCTTAAAAGGAAAGGAGGCCCAAAGAGCACAAGGTCGAGGTCGGCGATCAGGTCGAAGTGACGGCGTTCCGTTCGTGACTGCCGCAAACCACCATGGAAGCAAACCAAGGAAGATTAGGGTCACAGTGTGGTCAACAGTTTGGAACAGGTACACAGTGGGGCGTCCCCCGCACCTACTGGCATCTTCTTCGTTGGACGGGAAATGCCAGTGGTGTCCCGTCCCCCTGCTAAGCACAAAAACAGTTCAAACGAATCCCTGTGACTACAAGGGGCACACACTTATGGATATGGGTACTGAACTGATAGCGGTGCCACACGCCGGTCTAGGGTTCCATTTCCTAAGAGTACCAGTAGGAAGCCATCGAATCCTGGAGGTCTTAAAAGGAAAGGAGGCCCAAAGCACAGATTGAAACAATTCAAAAGAATCCCTGTGACTACAAGGGGCACACACACACTTAGATGGTTGCTCGCAAGAGCTAGGATCAGTATGAAGTCCCCCTTGACTTGATTGAACGGAAAGAACGAGAACCGAAAGGTGGCTGAGTCGATGGACTTGTAGATGTTTAACAAGGTTTCTCGCAGCTCACTAGTCGATTAGTGCAGGAACTGAAAGAGGGCTGGGTCAGAGTACCAGAAGTGTTTAACACGGGTGAGACAAAGGGTTAAAATTTGGCCTGCAGGTGCACGAGAAGGCGTCCCTTCTCGCTTCACCAGTTGTGAGTCCGTCTTCGTTGGTCCAGGGACAACTCACAACTGCCTGGACCCCCTGCCTCTTTTGTGCCCGCGCTGTTTTGATTTTGGTTTGGCTCCTAGTAGCAAGGCCAGGAGCAACTAGTAGCATCCGGCCTTCTAGTGAGATCTACGGCAGGCAACCTTACTAGACACAAACCTTGGAAGCAGGTGTTAACGCACGCACTATGCCGCGATCGGCGCTCTGTATCCCTTCCGTGAAACAATTGTTTGCGACGGCTTTGTACACATAACGCCGATATCGGCGCTCCGGAAGATTACTAGTCACCTAAAAAGCCTTAGAAAGACAGACAAAGAAAACAGAACAAAAGCACACGAAGAGGGCAAGAAAGAAAGATAGGTATAGTGACGAGGCCCACTTAGTTAAATGAAAGTAGTTAGCGAGCGGGACTTTTGTCTTAAACCACTCGGGTAGCTAGGAGTAGGGCAGGAGAAACAGAAGGAAAGGCACCGACACACAAGTGTGTTGAGTGCGATTTCCTTCTGTTACCCTAAATAGCGGGTGGGATGGCAACAGAGGCCTGGGGCAGGGAGGGGCCCGAAGGCATTGCCATCAATGGCGTTCAAGTATAGCCTTTTGGGGCCGGCGCACCCATTGTCTGAAAGACATCTGAAAGACACCTGAAACCTAGAGAAAGAAAGGCCTCAAGAAACGAAAAGCAACAGAAAGAGAGAAAGAACTCAAGAGCATCACAAGCACATGCAACTGAAAGGCAGCCTGTGGTTACCTAGCCGTGGAAACTGTACAGGTGAATACTTAGACGCATGTGCAAATCCTGACTGGATCGGAATCTCAGTGAGCCCTGCGGCATGATATCAGTGGTATCGAGCATAACAGCCAGAAGCAATCAAAAGAAGTTCCAAGGTGGAAGAAATCCCCCAGGATCTGGGTCTATGCACATGCATCGCCCCTCGACGGGGATCACACCACAGCCCTCAGTGGCACTCTGTGGCGATACACACTTAGATGGTTGCTCGCAAGAGCTAGGATCAGTATGAAGTCCCCCTTGACTTGATTGAACGGAAAGAACGAGAACCGAAAGGTGGCTGAGTCGATGGACTTGTAGATGTGTAACAAGGTTTCTCGCAGCTCACTAGTCGATTAGTGCAGGAACTGAAAGAGGGCTGGGTCAGAGTACCAGAAGTGTTTAACACGGGTGAGACAAAAGGTTAAAAATTTGGCCTGCAGGTGCACGAGAAGGCGTCCCTTCTCGCTTCACCAGTTGTGAGTCCGTCTTCGTTGGTCCAGGGACAACTCACAACTGCCTGGACCCCCTGCCTCTTTTTTGCCCGCGCTGTTTTTGATTTTGGTTTGGTTCCTAGTAGCAAGGCCAGGAGCAACTAGTAGCATCCGGCCTTCTAGTGAGATCTACAGCAGGCAACCTTACTAGACACAAACCTTGGAAACAGGTGTTAACACACACACATTTACTTTCTGATAGCACAAAGGCTTAGGATACTGCCAAGCCACAACCACAAAGCTATACTCCCCGCAACTTGCTGTGATAGGCCACGGCTTTCTACACTTGACATGCGTTCGCCTTAAGTGAGACGCCGGGTTTCTTCAGGTCATGGTCCGCCTGGCTTCCATCGGATTCTGCTGCGGCGAGCTGGCTGAAGTCCAGGCGAAGCTCTTCAAGATGGTGGGCCGCTAAGCCAGGCTAAGCCAGGCCAAGCCACGATGAATTCCGATGAATGTTGGACCTTGCAGGTTTTGCAAGTAGGTTTTGTTGGGCTTGGCTGAGATCAATTCTGGAGATGATGATGGCTGTCCAACGGCTCGCCACAACGAAGCTCGGATGCTGATTTGTGAGGAGAAGCTGAACGTGTTGCCTTAAGAGGAGGTGCTTTCAAGCTGCTTTCTGCCAAAGTGTAGTGTTTGCCTGGAGGAGCTTCCAGACTTGCAGGAAACCCTGTTGTATCAGGGACAGACGTTGGCCAGGCGAGTGTTGATGTCTGATTTGGGTGAGGTTGTGCATTCATTGTTCAGAGCTCGAAGGTATCTGGCAGCTCGCAAACACCTGAGCAGTTGCGTTGCATTCGTTGTATGTGATGTTGTGTTGGATTCAATTGGGCTATTTGGTTCTCTTGACCGCCCAAGGTTTGGTTTACCACGAGTTGCGGTCAGAGTGCCTCTCCTGGCACAAGTGAGTCAATGAATGTGCACTTTCTTGGAATCTCAGGCTTTTCGAAAAGCTCTACTTCAAGACTCCTGTGATGACCACAGGTTCTGGCCTTGTGCTCACCAGAGAAACTCAGGGGCCAGGGGTGAAACTGTGAGGTCCGGGTAGCCCAACGCCGTCTGCAAGCTTTACACCGGGGAGCTTCACACCCAGGAGTGCCACACCAGGTGGGTCGACCGATCTTGACAGATGTGGACCGACAAGTTCATGACACTTGACTGATGTCGTTCGCAAAGGTGCGGCCACGAATGCAACAACGGGCTCATTCCTCCAAGAGGGCGGAGCCTTGCTGACACTGAAGGTGCAGAAAATCGAATCATCTAGACTTCAGCAAGAGTAACAGCGCTGTGCACTTCCCAAATGTGGTCCTCAGGATGTGGTCCTCAGTCGGCAAAACAGCTTTCTGAGCCGAAGACCTAGTGACCTTGTGGTTTTGAGACCTTTTCACCACTAATGCAGCAAGGATGCTACTAGGGGCTCCTGGTGAATCCTATTAGACGATGCGACCCAGCTTTGCTAGGCTTGATTGAGCAGACCCCTACCATTCTGCTCGTGAGCTTCGTGGCGGGGCTTGATCCCTCGACCCCCTCGACCGCTTCGAAGTTGTTCTTGCTGCTCAGCGTGCGTCGCGCGTTGCATCTTGGAACCTCCGGAAGATTCAAGATCTCTTTGCGATCAGGGCGAGCTGGGCATTGAGTTGACCCATGCGTGGCTATATGCAGCTTGCTACGAATTGTCAAGCTGAAGTTGAAGAAGAAGAGATATGCTCTGTCCACTGCTGCATTTTCAAAGTTTTTCACCTTTGCCCCAGGTAATTGTCGACTACCTTCGCAAACAGAAGCTGGACCAGGCTAGGCTACAATGGCCAACAAGCCTGAATCCTGGGGGCCTTACAAGTACCAATTGCATGCCCTGCTGCTGTGAGATTTATGACTACCTGGAGAGCGATCAAGAAGCTTTAAGTCGATCGCGCTGTGCTCAGTGGCATGATCATAGATTAGGTTGCTAGCGGTTACTAGATCCACAGGTCGCTTGGGTGTACCCGATGGGCCAATGGCTCGAGTTTGTCGCACTTAGGATTGAATCGATGATGCAAATGACACGCAAACGGGTGCAGACTACAGCTCTAGGAGGCCCATTCCTCTCATTTGCATGTCGTGTTTTGGGATGTTGTGATCGCCTCATGGGCCTGCAAGGCTTGACCCATGAGGACTGTCGGAATGTGGAGAAGAGGCTTGAAGAGGCAGGAAGCCTTTGTGGATGTCGATGTTGATTCCGAACGTCAAGTTAAGCTGATGCGTGTCCCAAGGTGCAGCGGCTCTCACAGTGCTTGATTGAAGAAATCCACTCTCGAACGGCACCTTACCAAGTAGCAATGTATTTTTTAGTTAGTTCCAAAACGATGAAGCCAAGGCCGACGAGCTGGCTCGCTATGCGGCGAAGGTTCGAGGACTGCCGCACTTCATGGACTCTTTGACTAGACTTGACAAGACGATTCGGCCAAAAACACGAGTAAACTGACAAGGAGAAGCAGATGGCGATACCTTCGCAGCTCTCCTAGACGAGCGTCGCCGTTTGAAACTCGTTCCGTTTGAGCTTCAGGCACGTGAACGGTCCACAACACCACCCCCAGGCTCGCTGGATTCTGAGCCCCGTTGTTCAAACGCATTTCCAATCTCCCAGGTGTCAAACCCCAACCCAGGCACGTGCTTCTTCCCACGTTCGGTACAAAGATTGTGATATGTTCTATTTTTGCTTTTTAGACCCCTCCTTTCCGATCGACAGGTCTACATCTCCAGCAAACGCTCGGACCCAATCATGCAGCTTGACTCAAGATTATTTTAGCGTATTTTAGCATATTTTGTGATGAAGAACTTGCATGACTGCCCTGGGCTCCTTTAGATGTGATGTGTGTGTATGACTAGTCGATCAAAGATCGCGGAATGTCACGTATCGACTGCTGAGTCTCGGCACAAAGGACCCCCTTTCTTCGTTCGGTAGGGGGGGTCGAGCTACGCCGCAATGGATCTCCTGGATGACACGGCCCTTGTCTGCAGTCTAGCTGGTTTGACCAAGCAGCAGACGAAGGCGCTAGAGCAGTCGGGCTGGAATGTGATGAGGCTGGCTACATTAGCCGGATGCCCGCAAGAGACCCTTGAAGCGGTTAGATGGAACATCCAGGAGAAGAATGAGGGCTTTGATATTAGCATAGCCGACTTGAAAGAAGTGGCCAGAAGATCACAGACCCGTGCCGAGACGAGACACAAGATCGATGCGATCAGAGGAGGTCAGGAATTGCTAGACGCTCACATTGCACATCAACGTCGTGTTAGGAGGCGGACCTTCGATGAGCTGGTTGTCGACGATGTCGCTGCCCGAGTTGCATTAGTGGGTACTGCCAAGATAGCGAGGTGGCCCACTCGCTTAGGAAAGAAACTTCATTTGGCTGGAGATGATCTTGCACTTCGAGAGCTGGCAGAAAGAAATGAACGAGATCGGTGGACGAAAGAAATTCGTGACATTGTCAGAGCGGCCAAACTGCCAGTTGCGGTGCGCTCCAGCGAAGATGCCATGCTGCTCCGGGTGGCGAAGGGGCGTCGACCAAACACGCTCCGCAAGCATGTGAAAACGTGGCAGAAAGCGGCTAGGTGGTTTGAGGCCACTTATGGGGTGGCATGGCCACGTCATCCGGAGCAGTTTGCAGAGTTCTTGGAAGCTATGGTTCAAGAACCTTGTGCACGGTCCTTTCCCGAGTCGGTCTTCAAGACTTTGATGTTCTTGGAACATGCCGGCGAAGTGCCGGAGGGTGAGCAACTATGCCGTGCGCCGGCAGTCAAGAATGCATTGGAGGAGGCTGGACAGAGGCTGCAATCGGTGGAGATCGCTCCATCGAAGCAGGCGCTGCTCATTCCGGTGGCAGTTGTGATGAGCTGGGAGAGGCAGGTCTGCAATGAGGGGGCGTCCAACTACCCCAGGATTTACGCCTGGTTCAGGCTGGTGAAGCTTTGGACAGGCATGCGCTTCGATGACACCAAGGGGACGCCGAACAGAACGATGGAGCTCAGGGAGTGGGGCCTCAAAGGAGTGATTCATCGCTCCAAATCCTCTGGGCCTGGCAAGAGGATCATTTTGCTCCCCTTCTATGTCAACAGAGAGGCCTGGCTGATCGAGAAAGAATGGTTGATGGTTGGATGGCGTCTTTGGAATAGCATGGGCGTCGAATCTGGTCTTTTGACCAGAGATTTTATGTTGCCATGGCCGTCGAGAGACTTGGCAAGTTTTGCAAGGCGTGTGGTGGACTATCCGATAGCCTCCGCACTTTCTCAGGCCTTGTTCGTGGAGCTCAAGACGGAGGTGGATGACCGGGTGCAGAAGCTGCTGTTCCCGAGTGTAGGCCTGCTGTGGACAGAACATAGCGAACGCGCGACAGTGCGCACTTGGGCGCAGGCTGCCAGAGTGCCAGAGGACGTTAGAAGAATGATTGGTCGCTGGCGTCCATCAGCTGATGAAAGCTATGAACGGAACCTCAAAGCCAATGTCACCAGATGCCAGGCGGTGATCGCACACTTCATAAAGAAGAATCTGGGGAACACGGATCCCTTTGACGAAGTCACCGTGATTCAGCTTGTGGAGCAGAAGATGAAGAACTCCGGCTTCTCCCAGACAGAGTGCGATGAGCAGATGCTGAGGCTGATGTCCTTCCTGCCGCTTGGCGACCAGGCCACAGAGTGTGTGAAGCCCAGCTGGACGACGACTGGACCTGTAGTCTTCGTCGAAGAAGGCGGTGTGAAAGAGGAGCCAGAAGAGACGAATGCCATGGCATCGCTGGCCGAGCTATCGTCGGACGGCTTGGAGAACGACGAGCAACTGCCAGGAGTCACACCGCTCGAGAAGGTGGCTGGATTGTACATAGTTTCGGTGGTCGGCCGGTCTAAGACCAAGACGCTTCACAAGATAGGTGAATGCCACCGCCAACCAGGTGTCCACTACAAGAGCTTTGAAGTGTTGGGCGAAGAGGTGCCTGACAAGGCCTTGTATCACAAGGCGTGCAAGCAATGCTTCCGAAGAGGTGTTGCGGCGGCATCGAACTCGCCGGAGAGCGATAGCTCCGGTGAGGTGTCCTCGTCCGAGATGACGGACTCCGATGGCCAGAGCATCGAGCACGACCTCTTGTAAAGCCAGGTGTTCGGTGGAAAGAGAAAACACTGCACGGGGAACGGGTGCGGCATATGTTTTGTTGAGTGGACAGGTGAGATGTCGCACCAGGTAGGTCGAGGCTAGGCTAAGAAGGTTAAGGACAGAGGAGAGAAGGGGGGGCGTCGGTCGTTGTTTTGCATGGTTTCATTTTGCTTGTGATTTTGCACTTGAGTTTGAGTTCAGTTGTTGATTTGAATTGGCTTGTTTGATTTGCTCTCATGCCATGCACAACCACAGGTGGAAGATCTGAAGCGCTTGGCCCCAGGCAGTGCGTGCTGACCGGCGCGCACGAGGATGGGCGACATAGGCCATGACACCGAGGAGCGCCGGCGTAATGCCATAGCACTCCTCGACGCGGACTTGCATGGCTTGTTGCAGGTCAAAGAAGTCGAGGAGGTGGTGCAAGCTAAGCTGGCAGTGGCAAAGGTGCGCAGCATGAGTCGGATGAGCACCATCGCAGATGACCGAGGCAAGATGCGCGCTTTCTGCGTGGACGTGCTGGGTCTGGATGAAGCCAGGGATGTGGTTGAAATTGCATCCTTGGTAGACACTTGGGAGTCAGCATCAACCCGGGTGTCAGTCCGCAACAAGGCGGAAGCAGAAGCGGGGGTAGCCAGCCTACCGCGAGCACTCAACAAGATTGAGATCCAGGACTTGCTGGTGAAGTTTCAGAAGATTCACGGCATCAAGCTCGAAGATAGGAACACACCTGCTGCATCGACCCTCGAACAGGTCTTCGATCAGATCGAACAGGGGGAGATGAAGAACATGAGCCTGGTCCAGTTCTTGAGCAGGGAGGATGCAGAGGCAGACGTGCTGGGTGCAATGATAGAGTAGGGTACCGGCACGTTGAAAGTGAAGAAGGGCTATGGGGAGTGTGCAAAACCACGAAATCCAGAAGAGTTTCGCAAACGCATGGGCGTAGTTGCACACACCTATCTCCTGGCTCAGTTGAAGTATCCACAGAAGGCAAGCTTGAAGGACCTGGCACCACAGGATTTTCTCAAGTACCTTGATCTCATGTTGGGCGACCATGTGCTTGGATTGAAAGCACGGAACAAGGATGGAGATGTCATCGCAGCGCCCGACTTCGAGTTGGTCCTCGCCTACGACTTCCAGATTCGTCGGCAAATGGTCAAGCTCATGAACGAGGGCAGTTCGATGAAGCTCGCATTGAAAGATGCCATGTCCGACACCACGATCAAAGAACGTTACTTCCTCACGCCCAACGTCTACTCTCAGGTGCAGGTGCACACTACCTCCACCAGGTCCTACAACAGTGGCGGGGACTTGGCACGCTCCCGCAGTCCTGGCAGAAATCCCCCACGGTCAGATCGCTATGGTGAGTCCTTCAAGGGAAAGGGCAAAGGCAAGAAAGGGGGGAAGGGCCGTGGGAAGAAGGGTGGCAAGCAGATGCACGACAAGACACCTGACGGCCGTCAGATCTGCTGGCGTTGGAACAATCCCCGAGAGCGTTGTCGCTTCAATTGCGGTCGGCTTCACGTGTGCCAGATTTGTTTCGGGAGCCATCCAGCCCATTCGTGTGATGGTAGCGGCAAGAAGGACACCGCTGGAGGAGCAGCGGAAGGAAGTGCCAAGTCAGCTTGAAGAGACAAGCCGGAGGGGATGGCCTCGTCCTCTCCCGCTACAGAAGATACACCACGAGGCACACGACACTGTAGAGTACTATATCTCTTCAGTGGAGCGCAACGAAAGGCATCGGTGGCTTCTTTTCTGAAGTTGTTCGCTGCAGACACAGAGTTTGAGTTTGAAGTGCATGAAGTTGACATTCAGAATTCACCTACTTGGGACTTGGCTGATGAGTCCCTTCAAGCAAGGTTGTTGCAGGAGCTGGCCGATGGCTACTACGGTGTGGTACTCATTACACCTCCTTGCTCAACTTGGTCGAGAGTTAGGGGGGCCAATTGTCGAGGCCCTCCCATGATTCGTTCCCGCCAATACCCTTGGGGTTTTCCCTGGCTTTCCAAACGGCATCGCAAAGACGCCGACCTGGGCAACACTCTGATCAAGTTCATGCTCCAAGTGCTGACGGTCCTGCGGGAGCACCCATTTTCTCAGCAGGACCATCTTGTTTTGATCTTCTGTGAACATCCTGAGGATTTAGGGGTCATTTGGCGCGAGGAGGACCAGATGCAGATGGATCCGGCGTCGATCTGGCAGCTGCCTGAGTTGCGCACACTGGTGGCATCATTTCCTTTGAAGTTGTTCACTGTGGTTTTCCATCAGTGCTGTTGGGGCGCGCCATATCGCAAGCCTACTCGCCTGCTTACAAACCTGTCTTCCTTGCAAAGTTGGGGTCCTACCGGGTGGCCAATCTTTGCTACAGACGGCACTTACGCCGGACCTACAATCACCAATTTCACTTGTCAGCCCACTGTCACTCTAGCAAGGCAAACGGGTGACACTTCCTTTCGTACTACGGCAACCTCTATCTACCCAGAAGCCATGGATCGTGCCATTGCCAAGGCCATTTTGGCAGATCTCATGCAGCCACCCCCTTCGGCTGAAGAGGGGGGGAAGACGAAGAGGGTTGCTGCGCTTAAGAGAAAGGCATTGGAGGCGCTGGCGGGTGGAAACACTGCAACACCTGGACAGGGGCCTGATCGACTTTCTGGTGGCAACACTGCAACACCAGAGGTCGAGGCGGGGAGCAGTTCAGAGCTGGGCAAGGCAACATTGTGCAACAAAGCAACATTGTGCAACAAAGCAACATTGTTGGGTCGCAGTGCATTGAGCAACAGAGCAACGTTGTTGGGTCGCAGTGCATTGAGCAACAGAGCAACATTGTTGGACAACAAGGAGACGACTCCGAGCAACAGTGCAGAGTTGTGCAACAGAGCAACATTGGTTGAGGCATCGAGTAGTGGGTCGGTGCTGTTGGCTGGGTCTCCCTCCGGTGGAAACACTGCAACACCGGTCTATGATGGTGGTGGCAGACCTGGGTGGGGACCTCCCATTCAGGTGAGATACAAAGGGGAAACTCGCTCCATACATGATGGGGCTGGCCTTTGTTCCCCTGGAAGGTGGCCAGTGCACAAGAGAAACGCGCCCAGGACTCAGGTGGGCAGAGACTTGGCCCTCTGGTTTCTCAGGGCCTTCGAAGACTGGGTGGAACTTGAGGGCGAGGAGAAGGCCAAGTCTTTGTTTTGGTCGACGGCAGCTGGTAAGTCAGGAGGCTCGCCATTCGGAGGTGAGATTTTCGGATTTCGTGAGCGGCTGGACCTCTGGCTTCGGGAGAGGGGCAAGAAGCCGGATCGAAGGCGCCTAGACCGTCGCACAGAGATCAACTTTCGTCGCCTGCAGGCGGTGGCGGAGCTGCTGGGCGATGAGGATGCGGAGTTCTTAGCTGAGGTAGCCAGCACGGGGGTGATGCTTGGAGTGGACGAGGAGATGCCCAGGACACCCCAAGTGTATGAGGAGAAGGTCAAGTGGACTCTACAGATGAGGAGTTTCACGACACCCTGGCTGACAACTACATCTCGGCGGAGGAGAACGCCCAGGACATAGCCAGACAGGTGCTGGAAGAGGTTGAGAAGGGCACGATACTTCGGATGTCGGAGGCGGATGCGAGAGCACGCTTCAAGGGCCGCCTCGCAGTGGCAGCCTTGGGTGCAGTGCCCAAGGAATTGGGGACGACGAAGGTGCGATTGATCCATGACGGCACCTACAGTGTTGACGTCAACAAGAGAATAAGGGTTAAAGATCGCATGAGGTTCCCCTTGATTGATGACGCTGCAGCAATTCTCAGACAAGTGGAGCAGGAGAAGAGAGAGAGGCAAGAGGTGGTGCGGCTGTCTGTGCTCTATGACATCGCTAGGGCTCATAAGCTGATCCCGGTGCGGGAGGAGGACTGGGGCCTTCAAGCCTTTCGTCTCCCAGGAGAGGACAGCGGGGACGTGTTTGTGCGCACTAGGGGGACCTTCGGTGTGGCAAGTGCGGCGTACTGGTTTGGGCGCGTCATAGGGGTGGCGGTCCGGTCTGCGCATCGGTTGATGGGTCGTCACATGGGCTTGCTGCATTTGATCTATGCCGATGATGGGTGGCTGGCCGCAACAGGCAAGAAGTTCTGGAAGAAGGTGTTGATGTGGCTCTTCATCTACGAGCTCTTTGAGATCCCTATCACTTGGAAGAAGGTCAAGGGAGGCGCGGAGGTGGACTGGATAGGGTACCACCTCAACATCTCGACCTTTGAAAGAGGCATCAACGAGTCGAAGAAGCAGTGGATCAAGAAGTGGATTGATGAGAGGCTGGAGCATGGCAGCGTCGTGGGCCGCGAACTGAAGTCAGCGCTAGGTCGCTTGTCTTTTGTCGCTGGGGCCTTGAGGCATGTTCGACCTTTTCTGGCCCCATTGTTTTCGTGGTCGGCTTCGTTGGCAGGGGGCACTTTCTCGAAGTTTCCCGATGCAGTGGCCATTCTTCTAGAATTTGTTAAGGCGGAGGTAGACCGGAGACCGACGAGACCGTTGGAGCCCTTGGCCACCGACCCGATTGACATTTTCAGGGTTGATGCAAAAGCTGCTGGCGAAGAGATTGTCATCGGGGGATGGGAGTCTTGGAAGCATGCTGACACCAGACAGGCTCGATGGTTTTCATTTCACCTGACTCGTAGGACTGCGCCGTGGGCGTACATGAAGGGTGACCCTTTCCGTGCAATTGCAAGCCTCGAACTCATCGGGGTGCTGGTAGCTGTGATGGTGTTTGGGCCAGGGTCGGAATGGGCGACGGGTGAGTCGCGTGTGACACTTTCTGCCCTTACAGACAACCTTGCAAACACCCATGTTCTCCGCAAGTTTGGTAGCTGTCGCTATCCATTGTCGATCATTGCCATGGAATTGGCTTCGCAGTTGGACCTTTTAGGGCTCGACCTTGATCTTCAGTGGGTTCCTAGGTGGCAGAATCAAGCTGCGGATGATCTCACAAACGAGAGGTTCGATGATTTTGAACCCTCTCGTAGGCTGCAGGTTGCTTTCGAGTCGCGCGAGTTCGTGGTCATGGACAAGCTTCTTCGCAAAGCAGGTGAGCTCGATAAGGAGCTGCAGCTTTTCAAGAACTCCAAGGAAGCGAAGGCTGCAGCGATCAGAAGCGGCGAGCTGAAGCTGGAGAGGCGTTCCAAGAAGGGGCAGGTGAGGTGGCAGGACCCTTGGTGAAGAAGGCAGGGCCGGGACGTTCGCCGCGTGGTCGTCAGTTCCCCTCACGCTAACTAGTAGCTAGCCAGGTGAGGTAGTGCAGGGCCTCATCCAGTAGCTAAAGTGGGGGGAAGAACGTATGAGGCCATAGTGCACAAACTCTCAAGGACAAA